ATAGAGAAAACAGAGAAACGAAATGGTGAATTAGATTTTTCCTCTTTTTATCAAGTAAATGTCTCGGATGGGGCGTAATCGATTCGGTCTGGTCGATTGGAAAGAGCAAACACGAGCATCGAGGGTGCGGAGAAATATCGAGAGAGAAATTTTTGCAGAAGAGAGAAATGGAGGAGTGACGAAACGAGAAAGAGGTATCGGACAATTGATTTTAACGTCAGTCTGCGAGCTAGTGAATCACCATCAATCGAGTGGTTTCAAGAAGAATCATGTCTAATCATCTTTGCTAAGAGTTTAATTCCCCTTTGGAAAATATTATTGAGAATTGAGTGATTCCTCTGCATCTCAACATATCGAATTATTTATTTATTCAATAACATTGAAATCGTATTCGAAGGAAAAAAAGAGGAAAGAATTGAGATACATAGGTTCGAGGAGCGGACATCGCGTCGTTTGGCCTCCAAGTCTATCCACTTTCCGTAAGCGGCTTACCCTGGGGCTCCCGACGTGCCCGTTGAGAAAATTGCGATACGCCTTTGCTCGTTCGTTCATGTTTTTCCCATTTTTTTTATACACCCTAACTTCACATATACAATGAACGATTTGTTTCTTTTCCTCTCGGTGACTTTATCTCCAGAGATGCACCGACTCGGAAAAAAAATCAGCGGAGTTAAACTACCCGGTAGATGGACACTGCCCGGTAGGTGGATCGTTTAGTATTGAATAGGATGATCTGAAGCAGTGCTAAAACATAGGCTGTCCTATTTGAATTTTTTAAAGAACTCACCCGCCATCTACTGGGTAATTTCACTCACTTTTGATAGATTAATTTTTTTCGCGGGAAACATCACGGTTAGTTTCTATTTTTACCGATTTTCGTCCTCTCCGTGAGAATAAGTAACTTGGTAATGATTTTCCCTGGATGGGATTTGTTAAATCCTCACGCCACGGCCCTAATCTTCTCGCAAACGAGCGGAATAAGTGGGGGCAAATGGACTCGTTATGCAAATTGCCATGTTCATTTTTCTAATTTACCCCTCACATTTAGTCGCATTAAATATCATTACTCCTGACGAAACAAGTGCTACTGATCCGATGATTATGGTTGAATAATAAGAGTTTCGTTTTTACTCACCGAATCCGCCGACTCTCCGTCCTCCACGCCTTGCGGTATCCAATCAGGAACTAATCCAAAGGTGCACAAATTCACTCACATAAAATAAAAAAGGCCATGAACTACACATCACATCACTTCACATCACATCACATCACATCACCCTACACAACACTGCGTTTTTCAAACCCTCAGTTTGCCTCCCGATTTGACATCGATTTTTTTCAGTAGTGTCGTTTGCACGGGCTAACGTAAACACTCCACTGTTTTCGTCGGGTGAATGCCCCGAACTCACCAAATAAAAATAAAATTCTTTATGCCAACGTCACCTCTCATTCCCCCTTTATATTTTTAATTCTCCTCAAAATATCGATGCATACGGAAAACAATTGAACTTGAAAATTTTGCATCAGGCGCCCAAAATGCACCCGAAATAATTCTATCACGCCACTCGGCGCACTCCGCTAACTCTCGGTTCCCGCCCGATTTGACTCCGATTTTTGACTCCGGCGGTGTCGTTTGCGCGGACTAACGTAAACACCCGAATGTTTTCGGCGGGCGAATTCTCGGAACTCCCCGAACAAAAATAAAATCCTTCATGCCAACAACCTCATCTCCCATTGTCCTTTTAGATCATATTTTTAATTTCGATAAAAATATCAATGCATACGGAAAAAATTGAAGAATACACCCGAAATAATTCTAGCTCTTCTAACAACCCGATAATCACAAATTAAATCCTTTGTATCGATTGATTGCATTGTTAATCAAGAAAAAAAATCGACAATCACAACAGAGCCCCTCGAGTGAGACGAGAGCACTCACCGTTGGGCGCCATGGAGTGAGACAAAAGAAGAGAAATCCTCGCCGTCTTGTCTATTGTCCTTGCGTTCGTATTTCACCACAAAGACCGCTAATTTCGTGTCACAATCGTTGTGTTCGGTAATTATTCAGTAATTGTTCACTTATTTGTAATTTTAGTCTACGATTTAATCACTTTTTCACCCGAGTATACGTGAGCTGACCGACAAAGCGTCTACCCGGCTCGGAATCCCCCGCCACATAATCCCGATGGGCGCCCGATTTCACTTCGATTTTTTCCGGCGGTGTCGTTTGCGCGGGCTAACGTAAACTAATCGGACACCCTCCCGGAACTCCCCGAACAATAATAAAATTCTTCATACCAACAAACTCACTTCTCATTCCCACTGTAAATCGCATTTTTAATTGTGATTAAAATATCGATGCTTTCGGAACAAAATACGTCTTGCTAGTTTTTAACACGAGCCAAAATGTACCTTGAATTATTTTATTACACTATTCGGCGCGCTCCGTAAGCTCTCGGTTTCATCACGTTCTCACCCGATCTCACATCGACTCCCTCCCCTGGTGTCGTTTGCGCGGGCTAACGTAAACACTCGATTGTTTTCGTCGGGCGAATTCCCAGAATTCCCCAAACAAAAATAAAATTCTTCATGTCGCGTCATCTCTCATTTTCCCTTTAACTACATTTTTAATTCCGATTAAAATATCGATGCGTACGAAAGAAGAAAAAAGTCATGAAAATTTTTTACCGAAAATAAATAAATTTTTTATCGAAAGTGCACGCGAAATAATTTTAGTACTTCTAACAACCGGATAATAACCAATTAAATCATCTGAATCGATTGTTTGCATTTATTTTTCGCTTGGAATCTATTGTCAATCGATTAAAAAAATCGATGATCACAACAGCGTCTCGATTCAAACAAGACGACTCACCGTTGGGCGCCATGGAGTCGGACAAGGGATGTGAAATTTTTGTCAATTTGTCTATTGTCCTTGCGTCCGTATTTCACCGGAAAAATCACTAATTTCATGCCACAATCGTTGTGCCCGGTATTTATTCGGTAATTGTTCACTAATTTGTCATTTTAGTCCACGATTTAATCACTTTTCACCCGAGTATACGTGAGCCGATCGACAAAGCGTCTGCCCGGCTCGGAACCTCCCGCTACATAATCCCGATGCGCACCCGATTTCGCTTCGATCTTTTCCGGCAGTGTCGTTTGCGCGGGCTAACGTAAACTAATCGGACGCATTTCCGGAACTCCCCGAACAATAATAAAATTCTTCATACCAACAAAATCACCTCTCATTCCCACTGTAAATCGCATTTTTAATTGTGATTAAAATATCGATGCTTTCGGAACAAAATACGTTTTGCTAATTTTTTAACACGCGCGAAAATGCACCGGAAATTATTTTATTACACTACTCGGCGCGCTCCGTCATCTCTCGGTTTTATAACGTTCTCACTCGATCTCACTTCGACTCCCTCCGGTGGTGTCGTTTGCGCGGGCTAACGTAAACACTCGATTGTTTTCGTCGGGCGAATTCCCAGAATTCCCCAAACAAAAATAAAATTCTTCACGTCGCGTCATCTCTCATTCTCCCTTTAACTACATTTTTAATTCCGATTAAAATATCGATGCGTACGAAAGAAGAAAAAAGTCATGAAAATTTTTTACCGAGAATAAATAAATTTTTTATCGAAAGTGCACCCGAAATAATTTTAGTACTTCTAACAACCGGATAATAAACAATTAAATCATCTGAATCAATTGTTTGCATTTATTTTTCGCTTGAATTCCATTGTCAATCGATAAAAAAAATCGATGATCACAACAGCATCTCGATTCAAACAAGACGACTCACCGTTGGGGGCCACGGAGTGAGACAATGGATGTGAAATTTTTGTCGGTTTGTCTATTGTCCTTGCGTCAGTATTTCACCGGAAAAATCACTAATTTCATGCCACAATCGTTGTGTCCGGTATTTATTCGGTAATTGTTCACTAATTTGTCATTTTAGTCCACGATTTAATCACTTTTTCACCGAGTACACGCGAGTCGACTGCCAAAGCGTCTGCCCGGCAAAATTCACGGCCATATTTGATATTGTCCAATATGGCGACCGCCCGTGGCGCTGCGCGAACAGTTTGACGAACGCTCCGCGTATTTTCGTGTGAAATCGACATAAAATCAGTGAAATATTAATAAATAATGAAGCAATCGGTTGATGATAATGGATAGCAATAATCGTGCGGTGGAATTACCGGTTTTAGTGACAAATTACGAGTGCTAGGGCGATATAAAAATCTGAGGTGGACCAAATTTCTTTTGTTGTGTATCACGGATAGGGTAGTGAGTGCAAATCAAGATCGTTTCGTCATTTTACAAAGACAAACTGGGCATTTAGACATTCTTAAGTGGTTATTGAATTTTCTAATTAATTTGAGAAATTAATGAAGTGTGAAAGCAATGCTATCAGGAGTTGTGGAGGATTTTATTCGTGGTTGTGGCGTCATCAACAATGGCATGGCGATTTTGAAGCTTTGCCATTGTTGAGGGGTTAAAGAGGGTAAGATTATCGAAATGATAATTAATAATGTCGTGATTAATTAATGATGATATCTCAATGATTTTATCATGCAATTTGCTATTTTTACGGTGAATTATGAGTACTGGAGGGTAAAAAAATCAGGCATAAAATGTTTAGACTGTAATAACAGTAAATTGAGGAGACATTTTCGTGTGTAGAAACCTGGAAAATTTTTATAGCGTAACGCACGCAATACGGTGTTTGACTTTGTGAATTATCGATTGTTCAAGGCGTGCTCGGCCTCGATATAAACTTCTTATTGCCCAACCCTCTGGGTGCTTATCCAGTTCATCTTCTTTATCTATAATTATACTCCTTAATGCACATTTAGTGAGCCAATTGAGATAATTCTACGTCAGCCTCAATTATTTTTACCTGATAGAGAAAATAATTTCGTAATTTTTTTCCCCCAAAATATAAAAAATATTCAGTAAGTAATAAATAATTTCTCCACCTGTTTCAGATAAGAAGTCCTGGAGTAAGCCACGTGGGGCACGTGCCAGGAGTCGAACCGAATAAATGACGTAAATCCGAGGAACGAAAAGGGACGTAACGCTACCTTGCTGGTCCCCCAACCCTTTCCCCTATCCCCTATCTCTTTTTCTTACATCCTCCTCCCCTCAACCATTTTTCGTCCTCCATCCCAACCCCTGCGATCTCCAGAGAGCCGTCAACACAACCAACGTGTCCTCACTGTCACCTTTTTTCACTATTCGCCCGATCTGATTCCCTCTCTCTCGCTATCTCCATTGTAAAAAAAAACATTGGCTCGCCTACACGCCCTTTTCTCGTCACGACTCATCAGTGGGAGATAAAAGCAATCAGGAAAAGACGAACAGAATAGTTAGACAATTGAAGTTTCTGAGAATTCGCTGAGACTTGAATCAATCCAGCTGGTGACTCTCGCAGATGAATGACTTGAACATCATCACAACCTCAAAAGTAAAGAAAATAAAAAACTCGTGGTAATTCTGATCCACTTGCTTGAGGATTGAACATTGGAACTAAAAAACACGAAATCTAAATTGAATAATCATCGAGTTGAGGTACACATTAGCATTGGCTATGCAATTTTTTGAATGAATAGACGAGTGAGTGCCCAAGTTGGAGAGATTGTAGTGACTGGTAACATCGAATGAAAGATAAGTGTGAGTGAAGGTGCGAATGTTTTATCAAAATTGATAAATTAACGACTCATACATAAAAACGAATCGTTCAACCGTATCATCTAGTCGGTGCGTGTAAAAGAGGAAAACGAGGAAGAGTGTGAGCAACAGCTGAACACGAAGATGGCAATGGTCAACATGAACAACCTACTCAATGGAAAGGACTCGCGCTGGCTACAGTTGGAGGTATGCAGAGAGTTTCAACGCAACAAGTGCACCAGACCCGACACGGAGTGTAAATTCGCTCATCCACCTGCCAATGTTGAAGTGCAGAATGGACGCGTCACTGCGTGTTACGACAGTATCAAGGTGAGTCATTATTTTAATCAATTTTATTACCAAACTTTGATCTGCGAATCAGATTTTTGCGGATATCTTGGGATTCATCAGAGATAGGGAAAAATTTATAGGACCTCTTTTATAGTGTGGGAATAGAGCTAGAAAAAATGTATTATAGGATATTTCGCTATCTTCCGTAGATTTGGAGATATACTCAGAGATGAAATTGAGAAAATCGAATTCGTGTTTTAGTAATGTTATTTTTTCTTCCATTGTTTCTTTTTGAAGAAATCATTTCAAATTGCTTGACGTTTGAGGCTTGGCCGCCGCAGATAAACGACGATAACTTTTATCGATATTTTCCTGTGTATACATGTACACAAGCTTACTGTTATCACGGCAGATGCTTTTTATCACTCCGCCTGATTGTAATGACGACGTGCCGGCCTGGAAGCCTATTAAATTAAAAAAAAAAATACATATTGACCAGAATTTACTGGAAATGTAATTCGATGCCATGAATCAACTCTGAGTTTGTCTCTAAAAATACCAAAGGTCCGATTATCTTAATTTATTATTTCTTTTTACGTATACCACTCTTGACAGAAGAGTCTGAATATATGCATTATGGTAAATTGGTTACGTAACACGAATAAACGAGGGACAGGCGTGGGCGCGTGAAGTGATTGACGTAATTCAGGGGATTCGATGCAATTTTATCGTTCTGAAAGTTTTATTGTCTGAAAATTCTCGGACAAAATAAAAACGACTTTCGCTGATTTTTGTTCTAAAATTATCTCATTGCTCACTGAATTGGCAATTTTTCCATTTCATCAGCCAGCTAAAATTCTGAGCGTTTAATACTCCCATAAAATCCTCGCCATATATTGTCTTAACGTGAATATTAACGTTCTTGAGACACTCAAACTGAAAGACGACATTGTCCAATGTTACTTTGGCCACGACCCCGTTCCACGAACGCTGCTCACCAATCCGCAACCGTCGTCTCTCAGCTTCACTCGTAATATATAAGTTTCCTCGTCTCCGTCGTTTGCCTCCTCTTTCTCCTCTTCCTCCCGTCTCACTCCACCACTTCATGTGAATTCGTCATTCCGACGGGCGAGAAATAATGACGAGAGTCTTGCACGCGCGCCCAGCGTCAGGTTCAATTAATTACAATGATGACAATTAGAGTAGATGAAACACTTTGACCCTCGTACATAAATTCAAAGATGAATAACACCCGGTTTACTCTATCTAATTTTTTTTTCGCTATCCTCCCTTTCTATCGTATCACCCCATGACCCGTGTCACTTACTTCTAATCAAATGAAACTTTATCAACCCCAAATAGTCTTTAATAATACTGTTTTTTCCATGACTGGCGCAGTTAGTCCGTTTGTTCAGTGGCGTTATCGATTCCAATTACCTTAAAACTTTCAATTAATTCAACTGTCAAAAGTGAGCGCGTGGGCGAAAAGGGGGAAAAACCGATTTTAGATGAGGGACAAAGAGGGAAGAGAAAATAAAGTATACAGCTCTCTGGGCCAGATGTCACGGCAACAGCCAAAAGCCCCCGTCGGGTTGTTTTATCGGCTCGTTACGGCTCGCTCACCGATGGGCATTTCTTTTAACCTGTCTACCCGTCCGGTGATGTCCCCTCAATATATATATAGATATATATGTGTATATATATTTATCCTCATTCGATACTTCCATTCGGTTTTATCTCCAGAACTATTGACCCTAAACACTCTTTGCAATCTTCAACAATTAATTTTTTCACGTTATCAGGGATTTTTTATTTTTTTCCTCTTGAATGATTTTACGTTGTACAACTCAACCTGGTGCTGTGAAATTTACTCTGAAAATCAGAAAACGCTGGCACGGACATGACGAAAAACACGGGGAACAGCTGCTATGAGGGGGCCCTCCTCTGCACCTGTCGTGTCTGTTAGCAGTGGGCGAGACCGAAATACAGGAACGTTGCTCGATTCGTTTTCTCTCTAATGCTGACACAGGCCCCAAGCGTATACCGGGGATTTTGGTTGTTATATTACGGATAGTACAGGGTGTGGGTAATAAAAGCAACCCTCCCTTGGTGTTATAGTATCGCGAAGACGCACTCGAAGACGTTATGTACCTCGGTTATCCATGTATTCTTCTACGCTCATCAACCCACATCTGCACGCCCGTCGGAAGAGGGTTAAATTACTTCCCTCTTATGTGATTGTATTATCTCACCAGTCATACACTCACACATTCTCAACAAATTGAACTGATTTTTTTAAATCATTTCATCCCTTCAACTTCTCTCTCATTTTTTTCATCAAGCTATGCATTCTTGGTGGAAAGTTGTTATACTGTTGTTCATTATGCTCTCTCGACTTCAAGATCAATTCAAAGTCACTGACATTCAGGCCGAGGGCGAGTGAAGCCGCAAGCTTGTCAAATAGATAAACAGACAGGTATGTGAGACGCTGAGTGGAATGGTACAGGCATTATCCCGGGGAAACTGAGACGAGGCGGAACTGTCAGAGGAGTTGGCTATGTTGGCATTATGCGATTAGGCTTCTTGTATCCAACCCATCATCCAGCTTACTCCATTGCATTCAGGTTATGCCTACTGAAAAAAAAATGGCAATTTTTCCCTCTTCAAGCGTTGTGGCTTTAGCATTCTTCTATTAATCCATTAATAATTTTACTCCAATTACGCCGGTAAACTTTAGTCCTTCCAGTCGTATAGTGGAGATTCGCTAGAACTTGTCAATGATAAATAGGTAGTTTAGCGGTGGAAAGAATGAGTGTATTTACTGGTATGTGAAACGGGTTGAGATTCACGGGGTAAATCAACGAATAGAGAGTACAATCTATCGGCGTCTAGTGTAATTTACAACCGGACGGCATTAGCCGCCAGGTCCCTCATGTAATACATAGAGAAACTCATGGATGGGGAGATGATGCCACGGGAGACCGAGGGTGGATTTCTGGGTGGGAGTTGACGTTGGCCGAGGGAACACAATACGAAGCATAGACGTGCAAAATGGCATTCCATGGTCAGTACGGTATGTCGCTGTGTGCTGTCACGTGTTATCGATTCAAAGGGTACATCGAACCCTATTGGGCGTGGGGACCCATGGAATGCCCGTGGGCTATCGTCTTAAAATAGAAAAAAAAAAGATTCAATGTGCTTGGGGAGAGACTACATTTTATGTTACGCTTGACACATTTTTCTTGAAAAAATAAGCCGTCTCGTTCACAACAAATGTGCAGAGGAAAAAAATATTAAGATACTATTCTTGAGATACTATTCTTAGTCGGCCATTGAAATTGCCTGTAGTGGAGGCAGAGAGTAGTCAAAAAGCTACTTCCGCCATTACGTTACCGAGTCGAAGCAAAAAGCCCGGTACACTAATACCACTGGGGGAGTTGGAGGGAACCGGCAACGTTGAGACTAATAATAGTATATAAGTCTATTCGTCTTGTGTATATAAGTATTCGGCAATGGCCTGGGCAACGCGGTATTATACAGTTGTGGAGTAACAACACGACCTCTGGTTTATTCTTTTAGGCGGTTTTTTTTTATACTTCTCTCACTCTTCTATCCTCCTCGTATTGCACGTTACGTCATTTTATGACTCCTTGAAAAATTCGTGGAAGTCACGCAGCAGGAACATGATAATGTGGCCCACGAGAAATGAAAAAAAAAAAAAGAAAACGCGGAAATATTTAAAATTGTAATTTTTTTTGTCAGTTTATGGATGACGTTTTTTTTCCTCTGCATAAATTGAAAGTAGTAGGTAATATGGTAATTTCGAGATAAAAAAAGATTATCGATTGGTGCCAGGTTTTTTTGTTGAAATTGCAAATAATAATAATGAAGTTATCGAGGAGGTTGAACAAACAGTAGTATCGTGCCTAAAAGGGAGTCAACTGAGGCATTAATGAGTGCTCCATAATTTATCCCTTCAAGTGCCACACTAATTACACATATAATATCTATGCAAAAATATCGTCTGAGAGAGGTATCGGTCGATGGTGTTGGAAAGGGATGGGTAAAGGCTGAGGGAATACACCCAGTGGAGTCGTATCGTAACCCACCGTCGGGATACTACTCGAGTACAAATTTATTCGGCTCTCTGAGTTACACTGGGGCCAAACGCATACATAATGTATAGCTGTTCTCGGCGCGTTTCGCTTTCGTTGAACGAGGATAGGCAGAATCCTCTCTCTTCATGTGGTGTGCGCACTCCTCTTCGTACGGCCCTTGCACCAAGTGACTTGGTGCGGTCGAGTACGGAGCCAAGGACGCACCCCGCATTGCCCTCTACCATTTTCCATCTCCGGTACTATAATCTCGACCTTATTCAGATGCCTCCCTCGCACCCTTCCACCCTCCTATACCATCTATACCTCTTTCTCTTCCTCCTCCTTTTCCACCCACCGCGTGTTTCACTCGAGATATAGAAGACCACGAATAACCACTCGACCCTATTTGCTCACGGAGTTGATTGTCTCTTGATTCTCCACGTACATTCCTTCTTCATCACTCAACTACACGGCCTTTTTTTTATTTTTATTTTCGTTTTCTTTTTTTACCACTGTTTTTACGGTTTTTCCGTGAATATACGTCAGTCGTTTGGTTACGCACGTGACGAGCTCCATCATGGCCCTTATTCCCTGAGTCATCCAGGGGAAATAAGGGAAAATCTTATCCGGTTGACTTTTTAACCTCAAAAAAATTCAATTCGTTTTTCATCGTTTTCATAATACTCTGGTTTAATACTGCTGTTCAAAACTTTCCGAGAAGAATGAGGATGGAAAAAAATTAACTTTACGGACTCTATGGCGAGTAGATCGTTAAATTTAATTACTACTCGTCTAGACCAACCAGTGAAGGCAGTCTTCGGACACCTGTTTGATCTTTTCTCCCTGTACGTTCTTCTTGCACCTCGTACTCACTCTTTTCCCGGGGTTTTTATGGGTTTTTATCATCATCAATTCCCACCGTATGCCCGCCACCGTATCTCA